TGGATTTTAGACTTTGTAAGACCCTTCCGTGTTCTTCATATTACTAGACATTCCAATTATAATTAGTTGATTAAATAATGTATACAACACAATCAAAAACAGACAATATGTGCAGTGGAAAAAAATTCTAACTTACAGTCCATGTCTTTAATCTGTACTACTTCTTCAAAAGCTATAACCTATATTTTCAAATCAAAATACTAATCATTTTAAAAAGGGAGCCACACATCTATGGTATTTTCTTAAATAAGAAACATGTCATTTTGAATGCTCCCGTTTCTGTTAAACAGTGTATTGGAACAGGTTAATGATGACATCTGGTGGAAGACATCACAGTGCCACTGTCTGAGCAATCGTAAAATACACTGATCTGTACACAGTCTGCAATGGGTCTATTTTAAGGGACAACATGCATATGTTTGTTTTCTCATATAATAGTAGGAATAAAAAATTAAAGCACTAACAAAACCACAGACATGCAAACAATAATAATGCTCTATCTTACAGGACAGCCATCAACTTCATAAACGACATCAAAGATCTGCTTCTGGCCCTCGGTCTTCCTCTTGTCCTCGTTGATGTGACTGGTGGCGAGTATAGGGAGACGGGGGAAGTTGGAAAATGGAAGAAAATGATGTAATTGCTCATCTCAGTAATGCTAAAACAATTAGCCAATAAATGAATTGCTGGCCACCAATCAACGAAAATTTTTATAATCCATCACTTGTCTTAGCCGTTCATCAAGGAAAAAAAACATCTGCTGGCTCCAACTTTTTAATTTACTACTTTTTTTTTTTTTTTCAGATCGTTGTAGATTGAACATCTTTTGGTTTTTAGACTGTTGATCAGACTAAACAAGCAATTTAAAGATATTTATTGGGCATATTAAACTATTTTCTAACCTGCCAGGGTAATACTCATGCGGTTGTTTTGTCAACAGCTCGAAGGATTTGAGCATAATGTGACACCACTGAATATGACCTCCCAATGATCCAAAAATGCACTGAAATATCAAGGAGTACACCAGAATCTGGTCTCAGATATGTCAAGACTTAACCACCTTCAACTGGAAATAAAAAATAAACTTACATAAAAATCACTTGTTTCTTGCTTAATCTTGGCTCAACAATTATTACAAGCTGAACATACGGTCAAGATTGAGTACAATAAGAGTACATACGGTGGTGGAAATGATCAAACAATGCTGTCACAAAGGAAAGGGTAAGGTCATGCCAACTCACGTCATAACCTCTTTCAGAGACTCAATAGCTTTCTCCAGTTTTATCTTGTCTGGGTTGTCATCTGACGTATGCTTCTTTATGTCTGCAATGGTGGAAGAAAGGGAAAGTTTGTTAAGAAGCAGACAGGCAGGAAGAGATGAAAATCATGAAGAGAAAGGTGAGTAGAAAAGAATAGGGAGGAAAAGAAATTGCAGACAGTATCAGCAGAAGACAATGGAGGAAGAAGACAGGTATGAAAGGAGAAAGATAAGGGGGAAAAGACAAGGAGGGATGTAATTAGCACAAGACATTTTTTTTTTTCTTAACCGTTTGAACAGAGGGGTGAGTATGTGAGTGTGTGTGTGTTACCGTTTAGAAGAAGGGCCACACTAGGCAATCTCTGTACAGGTCTGATTAGCAGCTCCACCAGCGTCTGCCTGCCGCACTCTGGCTTGGCCTGGTTGATCTGTAGAATAAAAGCGTTGAACAGTGTGTGTGTTTGTGTAAACCTGAAGGACACATTGGGACAGAAACATTTACACTGCATGACAACCATCCAGCTAAAAGAAGGTCAATTTGTCTATACAATTTGTCAGGCCACTTTTGCAGATAGTCAGTATTTTCTTTATAAGCTGTCACTATTTTGCTCATTTTACATGTCCTGTACTACTTTTGTATTCGTAACTTTAATAAGCGCATTATTCTATTATGTTGACACGCACTCAAGAAACCAGGTTACGCTGACTGACAAGGCTAATGTTTGTAGTGTTTCTGTGAAGTGGTGTCATATCAGAAGGTTTTCCTGGTATTTCTCTCTCTGCCACCATTTGAAAGTCTCATCTGTAGGTGCTATCCAGCAGTCAGGCAAACAAACACAAAGCACAAAGGTCATACCTTGAGAAAAGCATGGAAGCGTGGCTTTTGTTTCTCACACCGAACAATAGTTTCCTTGCTCATTTCAAAGAAGTTGACAAAGGGTGGGTAGGCCTTCACCAGCTCTTTAGACTGCAGAGACAGAAGATAAGGAGGACAGGTCAGAAGCATTACAAGAAAGATCCACACAGATGCAAGAATGAGGTTTCACCAACATGTTGAATTACAATCTGGATTGTTTAAAGTTATTAAACTAGTCTTATGGAATAATTCTCAGTGCCACTTAGGAATGGAACGATATACTAAGCCTGTCATCACGGCAGAAGGTTCAGTTTGCCCGTGCCTTTTTTTTGAGTAACTAGAAATGGTGAATTACTGCAATAAGCTTTGTAAATCAATCTTGTTTAAATAAAGAATGAATCAAAAGCAATGTTATCATCAAAGACGAATTCAACCCATGATGTTATTCAACACAGCATCACAGCTGAAAACATACCTGAAAAGTGACCAGGAACTATTCCGGTTTAGCCTTGCATGCAAATACCTGCCCTCAAACTGTTTGAGTGATTTACCAGTGCCAGAAGAAATACTGCAAGCCCAATGTCACAGTTCACCCACGTGAGCATGGATTGGTCTCCTCAGGTAGAGACAGTACCTGATCAATGGCTTTGACCTTTACCAGCTGTTGTAAGCAACTTTCAAAATGAACTACTTCTGATTCTTTCTTGTGTTATAGATGAACCTCATGAATAGGCACAAATATGTTTGTACTTTCTTGAATCTTTCCATGCATATTTGTGCAACATCTGCATGCTAGTAGACATTTGTTATTACTTACATATTTGAGTATGATGTCCCCCACACTCCTGTCCTCTGACCAGTCTGAAAGGAGATCTTCGAGGTCACTCTGACGAACAAACCATCACACACAGAAAAACAACAAGTCAAAAACTCCTCTTTAAAAACTACACCATCACAATAATCGGGTCAAACTTGGTTTTGATAGAAACCGTCAAAGACACACTACCTTTATTCTGGTGTGGACCTCGTAGATGTCTGGGATGCTGCCAAATATCGTTTTCATTTCTTCTTGGGCTAGGATGGGTCCGCCCACCTGCCCCTCTTTTTCCAATGGCAGCTTAAAGAGCTTCAAAAGAAAAACCGATATGAGAGAGGTGCACAAACACACTAGCACCATAATATGTTCCACTAAATTGCACAAAACATCAATGGGCAGTACTCAAGACGCTTTCAAAGCTTTGGCATCAGTAATACAGTATGTTTCATTAGGTCAATAAAAATACGCACATCTAACATGTCTACACACTGTATTTACAAGATGTAACCTAATCTGTTGATTCCTTCATTTGCCATTTCATTGTGTCAACTGTAGTTTGGTTCATTTGGTCCTAACAAAGGGAAAGAGAGCCATAGTGTGCTTCATGTTCACACTAACTAAAAGACAAACCAAGAACAGTAAACACTATATTATAGAAACTGGCAGGTAACGCATTCATTGTGTTATGTAGAAATAATCAACAGTGAGTTTTTTTCTATTTTACCTAAAATAAGTCATGAAGAAATAACTGATCATGAGTCGAGACAACAACTGGACCTCATATATTATACATATTGAACAACAGGTAGAAATATGACAAAATAAGATGTTTAATTGCAATATTACGGGAGGATGTCCAATCCAACAATCATTGTGTGCTCGCTACATTTTACTCATTTTTAACTGGGGGACTGATAAAATACATGGAGAAGGACAAGATAAACATCTATTTTAACCCTTCTTCACTTTCTGATGTATCAGGAAAAACATCACAGTGAACTGGTGACAAATCCTTCACCAAATAAATGTGCATAAATATAGGCTATACATTAGATTGAGCAGTTCTTCATCATCTGTGATTTGAACACAACACATTTCACACACACTGACATGTTAGTGTGATACACACAGGCAGACGGTGTTACTTTTGTGTGATGTTGAAAAATGAAATCCAATTAGCAATCTACAGTCTGCTGCCCATCTGAACACAGGCTTGCTCTCCTGCCTCAGTATATGGCTGCGAGATGAAAAACGGAACTGCTGCACTCAAATACGGATGAAGTACATTTCTTTGAGGTGAAAAAGGAGCATGGATCGACTATGGAATAGGCTGGATTATGGAGTAAGCTTCAACTGTGGTTTCCTGTGATAAATGGCACAGTAGTGGAGCTACAGCTGCATTATTAGCAGCATGTGGCGAATTAGATTTTAAAATTCAACACCAAGAGGCTAACTTTATATTCCCAGATTTAAAACTAACCAGCTTTTTGTGAGTTAAGCCCAGGAGAATACGACAGAGAAGACAGATTACAAAGAGAGGGCAAAAATCGAGGAAGGGTGTTTGAGGCAGAAAGAGAGAGACACAGGGAGAAGAAGCATGAATGAAAAAGAAGCAACATCAAAATGGAGGAAGCCATAGTTAAAAAAAAGCAAAATGAGTAAAAGATTTTGAAGGGGTAGGAGACAGAAAGAAAAATGGTCAGGCAGGTCATTTTCTCCCTCACTGGTCAGCTGTCTGACTCTCTGCTGGGACCAACTGATAAGACAGGCCAAGAGAGAGCATGCAAACACACACAGACACA